GCGGGGCCGCATTCGTATAAGGCGACGGGCTTTACGCCGATGGCACGAAATAAGCAGAACGAAAAGGGTAAGGGAAGAAAGGCGGTTGGAGTAAGAAGAACGTGCGCGGATAAGGAGACAGAGTGGCAGTCGAGAGAGGGGGTTGCTGAGAACAAATGCGAAGCTCTGCCTCCATTTACGTCGGGGGGTTGCGAGCGTCAGGGGTTGGCACGAGGTACGGGATGGAAGAAATTCGTGGAAACACCGCGGAATTGGATAAGCCGGCGGGGTTTGTTTTGTCAGGGGTTCGCAACGAGGATAAACGTAGCGACTGAGATCGCGTGGTCGATGGTCATAGGCCTGAATATCGCGTGCCTGAATATCCCAGCAAATTTTCTCTTGCTCGCTCATTCACTCGCTCGCTTGCTCGACCGTCTGCGCGGAAATCGACAATCTACTAACCCGAGACAGGCACTCGTGTTGTTAACAAGCGCCGCCAGATCGATGGATCGAAACTGTGTTTCCCTGGTTAAATTAATATTCCCTCGAAATGCTTACTTTTCACGAATGGCTAAATTACCTCCTCCTCACCCCATATCATCCCATAAGTTTGCTAGCCTTTCCTAGGAAGTCATTCTGCTATTTTTAGTGACTATATGAACTATGGCACTGTTTAATAGAATTCACGGAAATTTTGCATTGTTTTAAAAATTATAAGCAAACATCTTTCTTATCTGGTAAAAGCACAAGTGTAAAGATACTCGGTACTGAAACAATGCAATATATTTTTAAAATGTAAATCGATAATGTTTAGTTTATCTCAATTTTCAACCATAAAGAAATAGATTTTCTAACGTTCCAATATTTGTCCAACAGCAAAGTTAAGAAAATTTAGAAATTCATTCTTAGTACCACTGTCATTATTATTGTCAGCTATTGTAGTACTGCACGTGGTACTCTAAACCGCAATGCAATAAAGGAAAGTGGTTGCAATTAATTTTTTTTAGATATTATCCTGCAATGCGATTCGCCAATCTCATTCTCCGCCGTAGAGAAAGTGCGGAAGGAGAACGGGTCCTTATCCGAACTATTGTCGAGACGAGAGACGGCGATCGAAAGCCCGACAATGGAATTGCGATTATCGTCCGAGCAGGGTTGCTTGCCCTCATCAAACCCTATATACGCGAGGGCGAATCGAATGGTATGGAACACGATGAGAGACAGGGAGAGGTATCAGCGAAGGAAAGAGGGAATGGGAGGGTGAGGGACGGGATCGGCATGGGGTGGAGGAGCAAGATAGAGTTAGAGAGAAACGAGCGGGAGGTACTAGGTGCTGTTTGTTGAATCCTCGAGATCAATACGACGTACCCTATCTCTTTCTCCCTCGTAATATTGCGGACGATGGCGTGCGTGACACACATATATGTTCATGTTCCCGATACACGTCACGAAAGGCAAAGTGATGCTGTACCAATTGATCACCGATTTTTCACGAAAGCGTTTGTCAATCTTGTCAATGAGAAATGGACAAAATTGTGATGTACGAATAGCTTGATTGTCCATTTTCAATTCTTTTCTATAAGATAAATTGACGTAGTGATGAACGGGGGAAATTCGTGATTAATATTGCGTACATCAGTCATGCCAATTACGATAAATTGCTGCCGTGAGATTGTAGCTAGTACCTCCATTTCCGATAATTATGCAAAATAATATTACAAAATTCTATTCAAGCAAGTTTCAAAATGGAAGTAACGTTCTTAAAAAATCGATTATCTTCTTTTAACCCTATCTATATACAAATAATGTTTATAAATATATAAATATATATTTATATAAATACATATACATATTTATATAAATATATAAATATATATATACACATACACATTTAGAATTCAAGCCTCATCGATATTTCATATATATAAATATTTAAAAGCTTTCCTTCACAGAAAGAAGCGATACAAGAAATTAATAACAATAGCCTTTGAAGGTGAAAGTCCGTATCTACTTTCACATCCATTTCTGAATAATTCTTCATTCCGCACATTTCTTCCATAAAAGCAGGCAATGACTATACCATAAGAGGGTGGCTTCACAACGCGAGCCTGCTTTTCAAAAAATGCAGTTGGTCATACCGCCTTATTTATCGCACTAGTTATAACGCGGTAAAGGAAGCTCTCGCGGAGCGAGAACTTTTTCTAGTTTTGTCTCTCTCACGCTCTCCCCCGTTCTTTCTTTTCCGACCAATCGAGGAGGCCTGCTTATCGTCAACGCGAAGGGTGAACTGCGCACTGCGGTATGGGACGAAAATAGGTCGGCCAATTCTCGTACCAGCACCCTCTTTCGCCTCCGCCTTACCTATCGACACCTCCGCACCCTTATCCGAACTCTAATAAAAAACGAATACCTACGAGTGTGAGCTTCGATCGTTTAGGCGCGGCCTTTCCGACGCACACTCAGGGTCAAATTTAACCACCGTTGATGCGCTGAGAGGGAGGCCGAATGTGTAATCAAATCATTCGAAAAGTGTTACATTAATAACTAATACTTCGAAGTAAGATACATGTAAATGTTAATTTGTTTTCTCTCGATTAAGTATATTTAATGTAATAACAAAAATATTATATTATAAAATAATGAGAAGCATACCTTTAACAAATGTATAAGAAATAGAATCGGATTGTAATTAAATTAAAAAATTTAAATATTCATCGTTCTCGTATGAACAAATTGAGTATTATTAAGTTTTTCTCGGTATAATTAAAAAATAAAAAGTAAAAAAAACAGAAACTTGCAATTAATTGTATGATTTCCTCATCCATAAAGAAATAATAATTAAGATATTCATATAACATGCAAATCGGAGCAAAAACTCTTCGTCATAATTTATATTCGTTAAATAAAATAAAATTAGTTACAAACTCTTCTCAAAATATAAAATTACTTTGTGCAGTCTTATTAAACTGTATAATTGCACGCCATTGTAAAAAGATGTGCAATTATCTTTCAATATTCAATATCAATAATTATCAAATAAATGAATATTAAAGTTTATGTTTGAATCTACGCACCTTCCTTCAGCGCATCTCATAGAAAAAAAAAATATATTACATCTATAATCATGATATCGTCAGCGTCAACTCACTTTCGCTGAAGACACAAGCACACAACTGCGCAACGCGTTGTTCACATTTGATTTCTTCATAGCGCAATAACAATCGATTCATCACTATAAAAACGTCTGTCAAAAGTTTTCACAAGGGAATCACAAATTATGAGGCATCAATGAATGCGATTCTTTCGCGCGCATGTATGTAAATCGCAAGCCCTCTTCGATCAATTTCCAGATTGCTGCTTGTCTTCGGATCATCTCTCTCTGTCAGCCGGGGAATATTATTGTTGAGACTGTTGGCTTGCGGAAACTTGTGAGGCAGACTGCAAAGATTGCTGTTGCGCCTGCACGTGTGTCTGTATCTGGTGATACAGAGGGTAAGTTTTTCTCTTTCTGATGCCATGCATGGAAAGCAGATGAATCTGCAAGTACTGCTTGGTCTTGAATTGCTTGTTGCACACGTGACACGAGATATACTCAGTCTGCACAGTGTGAACGTTAACAATGTGCTGCTTTAAATTAGAATTGTTCGAGTATATCTTGCCGCATTCGGGACACTTGGGTTTACCGATGTGATTGGCGTCCTCCCTTTGCTGATGATATCGCCTGTGAGATTGCTGATGGAGTATCGCCATATCGATCTTGTCCTTCGCGCAAGACTGCAGTATTAGATTTAGTTGCTCACTCTTGACAGAAGTGCTCTGCTGGAGATTTTGGAGATTGTTCTGCAGTTTCTGATGCATCATCGTAAGTTGCTCACTGTTTAGGTTATTGAGGGAGTTGAGGGCATTGAGGGTGTGTTGCTGCGACGACTGTTGGCTGGTGGTATGGTGGTGATGATGCTGATGGTGATGATGCTGAAGCAAGGCCGAGAGATCCTGCCCTTTCGAGTTGTGACCTCCGCCGCTCTGGTAGGTTTCAGACCCGGCGTGCTCGTTCTTGGAGGATGAACCCGGCAGCCAACCGGAACTCGAACTTGAACCATCTCCTCCAGAGGGCTGCCACCGCCCTGGAACCACCAGCCAATGTCAGTCCTCAGCCAACCTCGTACGATTCCTTAAACACTATTCAATCGCTTTTTTTGCCTCCCACTGCCCTTTCTTATGTATTTTTTTTTCAACTTTCTCTTTTCTGAAAGTATATTTCCAGGTTTTAAAGACAAGGTTTTGCCCTCAATAATTTTTGTACCCTTCCCCAACGAGTCTCTCCCTAAATCTAGAATCGAATTCAATCCTTCGTTTCAAGTTAATATGGCGACTTTTAATTGTTCCTGGCGCTCTTGTGCGCCCTATATTGTTCGTCTCTTCTTCATTATCTTCCCATATCGCGATTTGTTTCCAATTCTTATTCAAATTGAGACCGAATAAGATCACTACATTGATATATAGTACACGCATAATTAAGATTATTTTAGATAATTACGAATAATATAAGTTTAGATTTACAATTCGATTCCTGAGCCTGAAAATTTTGTTGATATTGCAAGTAGCGACGCGAATCGATTTCACACTTACACAATTTTTCAAGGTAATATACGATGTCGAAAATAAGCTTCACATCACAGACAAAGACAGTGACGAAGATACAATATGATCATTTTCGAATAAAAAGGTCATTGCATGATAGTTACTATGAAAAAGATTTATGTCTCTGCCATGTAAGATACGCCATAATAATGAAAATCATAGAAGAGCCGTTGAGATGCGACTCCATAATACGTTGCTGCTCACCGTGTGATAAGAGGGGTAGCTGACAAGGGATGCAAGGGTTGTGAGAGGTACGAGAGTTTCATGCATTCAACGCAACAACGAGAGATCAGAGTCTTAGGAAACGACGGAAGGATACTAGTCTGGGCTTTAAGAATGTTTAAAAGGGTGAGATCAAATCGTAGATTTGATAAACTTACCGTAGTTTGGATCCTGATTGGCTACCTGATGCATACCGGAAGGTCCTGGCATATTCATGCCTGTAATTTAAAAATAGAGAGTCAATTAGATTAATTACACACAAAAGATGTGTGTTATTATTTAAAAAATTTAATATTATTAAATAAGACAGAAAAGTGCAATTATTTATTTATATGTTAAATATGAAGTGCAATTTATTATCTTAAGTAAATTGTCATGAATTAAAAATAGAATATTGATTTTTTAATACTTAATATTATGCAGTATACATTAACATTACAAAGTCAACTACTGTTTTATGGTAAATATAAATATAAATCATGAGATTTGTATCGCTCAATTGACTAGAGCACAAGTAAACGAAATCAAATTATGTTAATAATATGTTAGTTTATTACATTTCATAATAGATTCATATTAACACATTTTCATAAGTCAAAGAATACAATGAAATTATGTACACAAATAGAAATAATTGTAATTATTCATTAATTAATTTTAATTGAAGCCGTAATTAGTAATTAAGTCGGGCTAATTGCTAATTACGAAAGTAATTAGTAACTGGACGAGGAATTAATAATTAATTACAAATGTAATTAGTAATTAAATGTGCCATTAATTAAAAAACTAATTTGCATCCTTTCGACAAAACTGGGATTTCTTTGGTCCAACATAAATTCATCTCTGCCTTATAAATACCGAAGTAGCCGATATTTATTAATATATAAGCAATTATCAATATAAAACATATTTTTAAAACAGATCAATAATCTGCTTATTCTTGGAGTATATGATTTATTCATTATTGAATGAATTTCAAACAGAGCAAACAATATAACAATATGTTAAACATAAAATATTTTACAAGGTTCAATGTGAGAATTTCAAACATAAAAGCCAAATAATTACCTTGAAGACTTAACAACGCTGCAGGGAAGCTGTTTCGATGGTGTTCTATAGAATCATTTAGAATATCACTTGGCTCGGTCTTCACTGCATTAAGAATACTGCCGTGATTCGACACATCCTCCTCGTTTTCTGACATAGAATTCGAATCTTCGCCAGTTGACTGTGCCTGAAAGTTAACAAAATACCCTCATATTTGTAAAATATTAGTAAAAAATACCTATAATCATTGCAAAGATATTAATCGGTTTCATAAAATTTAAATTTACAATTTGGCGCGCAAATACGTTTATGTGTAATAGAGCATCGTTATTATTGCCTAACTTGACATAATCCTTACTCACCTGTATATTATTTGTGGATGTCGTGTGTATCGTGGGACCACCTTCGAGTGCTTGGCCTAACAAGGATTCCTGAAGATCCAATTTTGGTTCGACGTGGTTTCCTATTGGCGGACTGTAACTTCTTGCTCGCTTTTCCGGTGGACTCAACTCACTTTCATTGAGATCCCCTCTGCCGTTATCTTGCCAGTTACGTGGGGTTGCCTGATCAAATTAAAGATAATATACGGATGATAGTACAGCATATCCATGAAAAAGGCAATGCAATCATTCTTCATAATTTAGTTCCAATTAATATTTAACATTCGATAATCTAATTATATGTATAATCAGAGAAACTCCAGATACTCCATTATTAAAACTTCCACGTAATATTTGTCTAACGTCTATTATAAGTCGTGAAATTAAAAGCTAAAGGACGAAGCAGGAAATTCTAGCCGGGATTCCGCCTGTCACGATGGCGGCGACGGCGTAGTGTTAAAAGCACATTAATTAAAATTCGTTTTAATTAAGGCTAAATTAATTAAAAGTTCGAAACCAGCCGTATAATTCGTATAATTAATTTTCCAACTTCCATATTAAACTGCCGCGGGGACAACTTACAGGTGCGCTACCGTTGTTGCCGGCCGACGACGATGGAATTTTCGTGGCGCCGCTATTAACGTCCGCCAAACCCCGCACTTGAAGCATTTGAGCTGTCTTCAGGAAAGCAGGTAACTGCTCTTGACCCACGTGTACTTCCCCGTGATACATAAAACGTAGCAAGGATTCCATGTCCGACGAAGCCACATCCTTCAGGATTACAATTGGGTGAGGACATGGATTTGCCTGCGCAAAAGTTAAAATTTCCTTCGAATTCACATTTTCATAAATTAATAATGCAAAATACTTAAATGAGTATCCTAACGTAATTTCAACATTATTACAAAATGTTATAATTCTATTTTTCTATAATTATATCTAAAATTGTTTAATATCTTTACTTGTTTGTAGAAAATTACTTTAATTTGCGAAACAAAATAAAATAAAATTGTAAAATTATAAACTTTTAAAATAACTTGTAATTCATTCAATTTCAAACTCGTACAATATACTGCTCAACATTATCCATTCAATCGAACAATCGTACACGCAGCGCTGATTCAAGCGAGATTTGATATAAGATACCAGTGTCAAATTAATCGCAGCTATTAATTATCAGCCTATCCTGGGCAGCCATTAGTACAGTTATCTTATACGTAGCGTGGCAATTACAAAAAGTATGCGCTCTAACTAACGCATGATCGATCAAGGTAATCGATCCATCAGGAAGCGCGCGATTTTTCTAATCGTAGATTCATACGAGAGAAGATCGGAAACCAAGAGAGATACATCGATCCTCTATCAGCAAGAGGTCAAAAGGTTTGACGGTAACGAATACTATCCTTTCTTTCGCTCTTCTCCGAGTACAGAACAGAACGTTTCTCACGTATACTGAAATTCAACAAACCATATACACTTAGATATCCATCGTGCAAAAAGAAGAATAACATTTCTTTTCTTCCTTTCAAAGTAAACGATTCAACATCGGCTAAAGGTTAAGAGGTATACGAGGATTCTGATCGATACCTAGCAAATCGATCCCTCTTGCAAAGTGCTTAATCCTATCCATCGATGGACACGCAGGAGGGAGTCTGACGGCCGATTAATTTGTAACGATTTACAAGCGAGATGCATATAATCAGCGTCGTTTAATCCACGTCGGAGCTACCCTTCATCTTAGTGCATTGCTGCATCGATTTGTACGTTTAAACCCACATAAATCGTCAATTTTTCGTAAATACGCACAGCAGGGCGACTTGAAAGATTTTAAACTACGAGATAAAATACATTAATACACGCTGATAAATTATAATTACTTTTACCTTTATTTAAACTCATGCATGAAGAACGTAACTGATTTAGAAATCATTGCATCGTTGTTTAATCAAGTGAAACTTTAAACAAAGTGAAAAACTTTACCTTGATACAGGTAATTACAAGAATGAATTCTAAAGCAAGATGACGTAAAATGTGTCCTTATTGCCAAGAGTGCCCCAAATACCTTCTCACCTTTCTCATCAACGAATTGACTGAGTGAAATCGCTTTTCGCCGATGGTTAATTGCCTCCACGAATAGTCACGCTCGACGGCCAATTGATTCGTAACGACAATTTATAACCACGACGCGTATAATGATCGATACTCAATCTACGTCGGGATGTTCCCGTATACCTGAGGCATCAATTCTTGCACCTGTCAGACCAGCGAATTAACTCTTAATATTGAATGATCTTCGAGATCGTTAGATGGTGACAATTGATCCTCACAAGCAAAGTTACACGTATATATATAGTTATCGTTTTGCTTTTATGAAGAAATTCGTGTTCATATCTTATTCTATTACATAATGTTTAGATTTATAACATACCATTTACATCTAAAATATTGTATCATTTAATAATTATGTGCATACACGGAAAGAATGGTTTTGCTAAAGTATCTAAAAATTTAACTAGATACAGATTTAAAAATAATTATATAGACGTTCAAGCTGGTTGCGAGACTATATCAAACTTTTTGCAATATTATTCATTATGCTTGAGTGTCCTACATAATTATTTTGATGGTCCAACATAATTATTTTCAAAGTTTTGTATCTAACTAAATTTTTAGATTTAACAAAATCATTCTTTCCGCGTGATTGAAGGCAAAATTATCAAAATTATCAAGATAATCGTTTAATCGGTACAAGTACCTTCCATTTTACTTTTTCTATTAACTTTTTCTATTTATTATTTCTTATTTACTTATTTTTACTACTTCTTAATTAATCATAATTACTTATTTATTGATTCATCTCTTTTATTTGTATAAACCTACGTAATAATTATAAGATAACTGTTTTAAATTTCTAAATAAATATATGACGTATATTTTAATAATATGTAAACATGCGATGTGTTCTCGGTTAGATGAAGAGTTATATCGATATATAACGGCATCGATCGCGATCGTTCTTGCGAAAAAACCGCGAGAGCAGACCGCATAAAGCGGAGGCGTCTCACGATGTATGTACGTCATGGCAATATTATACGAAGTGCTAGTGCCATTATCGACAGCGATATTAATTATAATTAATGAACCTCCTGGGATGGCGCGGCTTTCCGTACGCCTTGCCTACACAGTTACATCGAAACGACGTGATGCTGCACATATACACGCTGTAACGCGAGACGTATGTATGTACAATGCCGCGACCTCAGCGAAGAACCGTTCCAACTTCGATTATCGATGCCCCGAATTTAACGTCGGTACGTGAAAACCCACGGCAGCGGAGGAGGGTTCGACGCTGCCATGTGCAGAGGCATTTATTATTGGCTAGTATCGACTTAACGTCTGTGCACGCGGTGCAGCGAGGTGCGGCGTCTCGATTTATTGGACTGCATGCAACGGAACGTATCGGATAAATGGTTCTTGAGATGGAAAAGCAAGGTGCGCGTATATTGCATAGAAATAATGTAACTGAAAGAATATGTTAATAAGCTAAATTAAAAACCTTGATTGCATTCAGGAAGATTTATTATAAATTTCGAGATTGGCATAATTTAGTCGAAATATTTACGACATGTACAACATATATATTAATTATATACATTTTAATTATTTATATACATAAATACATATAAATGATATTTGACTTTTCTTGTTGAGAAATAACTTTAAAAAATGATGAACAGAAAGCTAAATTTTTTTCTCAGCGAATATAATCGTACAATGCAATATCATAATTGGAGAACTATATTTTATTAAATGCCGATAGCCGCTTCGTAATAAAAGAAAAAAAATCTATGCTGGTCGAGCGTTTTATCTCGACAAAAGCATGACTTAATCAATCGAATACATTGAGATTCATCTCTCGAAGGGCAGTTTCCGCGGCGCGTAGGAGAGAAATATTTTTACCAATAATCCCGCAGTTATACAACGCACTTTTTAATAATAATTATGCAATTGAATAAACGATTCTTATTATACGATATAAAATAAAGAAAAGTTCAATTGCGAGCAATCCAGAACATTCGTTGTAATATTTTATCATTATATCACATTTGTGTGTCATAATTCGAGGAGATAATGTTAATGAAGGACTTACCGATACAAATTTTTAGAATAAAAAATATAAATAAACTTTTCTTTCAATTTCTAATTTATTTTCACATACGTTTATCTTGGGGAAATTTCGACGAGCGCATTTATTTTGAGGTCTTGTGAATATTAAGGATATCATATATGATTCCTCGATAACTTTATCGGGTGCTGGAAAGCTCGTTGATGGGAATAACTCAAATAATTGAAGTAGTGGAAATAATCACTTGTCTGCAGGTATCTGCACACCTTTAGAATTCCACAATGAAAAGAGATAAAGTGAAACAGAGAAGCAGAAGAAGGAAGACAATGGATGGTGCAAAAGGGGAGGAGAATGAGAACACTACGAACTCCTTTATCGCATTAACCAACTCAATTAACAACTTTGAGACGAGACACCATCCTCTCTAATTAGACCTAACGGGATTAAAACGGGTCAATAATTAATTGTATGATCGCGTGTGCGTCAGAGCAGAATAGGCGAATGATCAAAGAGCCTCCGATTAATTCGCGAGATACGTATCGATCTGCACAATATATATCATCATGATTCCCTAACGGATGATACTTATTCGATTACAATGTGTATGCGAGGATACGTCGACATAACTGCTAATTACACTTCATCATTTGCTTGCAAAATATAATTCTCTCCAAAGGGACTATATGTTTAATTCTATTATAATTATACATAAAATTATACATTGAATATTGATGCAATCTATCATCAAAGATCTTGTTATAGTATCACATCGTTGTGCTTGTTATCAAATGAAATCTAATTGATAAATTGCTCGTGTACACTTCGTCCAACAAACAATTTGTCTCAATCATCAAAAATGGCCGCCGGATATAATATAATATTTTTACCTATATACATAACCCGTTTAATCGATTCTCAGAATTCGATCTGCGTGCTTACCCCAGCAATGTGTACTAATTCTTCATTTCTGGCGGAAACCAATATCCTCTAAAAAAGAATGTAAATAAGATACCGATCTATCTATCATTACAGTCTATCTCATTTGTCTAGTCAGTTGGTAAGTTTCCGTCATGATTTTTCGTGCATCGACGCTCACATGGCTTGTAACGTGGGAAATCTTGCGCCAGCCTTATTAACGACTCCTCGTAAGTCCCCCGTGCCGCACACTGTGCATGCACGATTTTTCCTCGAATCACCGGCGTCGTTCGACCATAATTATCCAACCACCTGAGAGCGATCGCGCGGCGGAATCCAGAACGTCCGCTTTCTAAAATCCGCAAAGCAACGGTGCGGGGAAGATCGTGGCAAACGATTAAGAATCGGCCGCGTGATCGAACGGCACCGATAATTGATTAGTGGAAATAAACGGGGACCATGCGTGAGAGACACAATGAAGGGGGCGGCGGAGATTAACGATACGCCGTAGAAAATGAGCGGACTTGTACCCGAGCGTGTCGCAAGACGTACTGCAGTGCTGGTACCCTTAACTTAACTCCATCAGAGTTCCTGTTCATTATAACGGGCTATGTGTCTTTTTTTATTTGTAACACACAAGCATCTATTTTCAGAGGCATTCGGTGTTGCTATCCCAGTTTATGAACACGCCGTGAGTTATGATTTAAATTATTTAGCACGACTTGCATGATTAAATGAAATAATGAACAAGGGAGAAAAACAAGTA